GATGGGTACCCAAAAGCGTAACAGACGGACGGACGGAATTAACGATTACTATATACCCTCCCGCTTTTCAAGCGGGGGGTATAATAAATTTCATTATACTCAGGCATTTGTATAAATTGTTATTATGCCTATATTATATTTACCAATATAAAGGGTGTTAAGAAAGTTCATTCCACATTTTTCTTTTATTTTCGAAAAGAAGTACGATGAGAATGTCTTCAAAATTTGTAATATTTCATCTTTACAGACTTCATTCTTGCTACTGATAAGGTTTTAACTGTCTTTTTTGAATGAATAAGGGGAGGCCAGGTATTAGAACAGACGATGTCTGTTCAGAATAAAATAGGCATGACGTATATTTGTGACATATATTAAGCACACAGGTCAAAACATCCTTTCAAATACTATGCAAAAATTATGAAGTCGGTAAAAAATTTCACCTTGACAAACCTATTCTTTTAAAAAGTGATCTATCGTTCTTATACCATTGCTCATCAGCTCGACTGATGCAAGATAAGATATGAAGAAACAAAAGTAAATTATCCTTTACTTTCACTCAAAATGACCAGCATTTCTATCATTAGAGTGCTTTAAAGATGTCACATATATTTTCATATGGAAGAAAAATCCTATAACTTCCTGCTAGAAATGAATTGCTATAAATCTAAAGCACACTCTTGTGATTTTGTCAGACTTGAAAATTTATCTCTTTAGTTAAGCACTTCTTTGAATTTTTAAAAAATATTTCATCATGGAACGGACTTTCTTAACACCCCTTACATGACCTTATTCATGGATAAAACATACCCTAAGTAAAGGAGTAATCAAAAACCCATGGATAGTGATCCGTCACATCTCTGTTATTAACCTAATATGATAATGTAACAGACCTTTAATGCATAATATTCTATATCACTGATCATTATATTCTAAACTAAGTGTAAAAATAAAATACTTTGAAAAATAACACTAGTTCATTGGTTTATCAAGACTACACTATTGTTTTACTATTCTATAATATGTGATATTATGATATAATAATTCTTTAACGGAAACTAGAGGTACTGTGAGCAATGAGCTCACTAAATGATACCCCCCGCTTCCCATATGTGTATAAATGGCAGTGTCCATGTTTTGCTATGGGAAACCCAAAATATGTGTCGGATCAAAAAGTAAAATAGGAGGTGCACAATGGCAATATGTAATAAAGATTCTGTGAAAGTTTCATCAAATTTCATTCAGTGGTATAAGAGGAGTTGCGGATAAGAGATGGGTACCCCAAAGCGTAACAGACGGACGGACGTACAGACGGACGGACGGACGGACGGAATTAACGATTACTATATACCCTCCTGCTTTTCAAGCGGGGGGTATAGTAATAAATTTGATCAATAATGTCTTTTGTAAGAAACAATTTATATAATTTAATTCTGATTGTAACGCTGTATTTGATTGGATAAAAAATTTACTTCATATCGTATAAAATGGGTTGCCTACGTCACAATGACTTACGTCAAAAACGTATCAATCCGCCTGACGTTACATTCAAATTTTGTACAAATTGAAGTCATTTTATTAGAACAATCACCTTTTTTCTTGCATCAAATGAATGAAAATTAAATTATAAGGAATGAATTTAATAGCTACACATTTTATACGGTATAAACTGGGTTGGAACAGTTTACGCTTTTTTATAAACCGCTTCGCGGTTTATAAAGCGTAAACTGCCCCAACCCAGTTTATACCGTATAAAATGGGTAGCTATTAAATTCATTCCTTAAATATTTTAAATAATATACAGTTATGGAATGGGTACGAGGGAAATAGCAAATTTATGGTTCCCCGAGGGAGGAAACTATTTCCCGAGGCGGCGAAGCCGCCGAGGGAAATAGTTTCCTGCCGAGGGGAACCATAAATTTGCTATTTCTCGAGTTCACATTCCATAACTGTTTTATTATACCGAAACAATCATAAGCGATTAAATTTTTTTTTAACCAGATATTCCGACATTTTAAAAAATTAATAAACACTGTAGAGGCATAATTACAAATGCATGCGGGTTAACAGATTGTATGATAAGCAATACATCGTGTCCTAAACAATTAAATTATTTTGAAAAAGTATTTTCACTGACATTTCGAAGAATTATTCTTATCTTCATTTTGTTAGAATTCAAGTATGATTTTGACATCGCATGTCGAAATGTTTTGACGTCATAGTTACATTGTTAATAACATGACGTCACAGACTCGAGATTCCTTGAACGCTCCGCCCACTGAACACTTTGGTTAAAATTACTAATAAATATTCATGAGGGAGTAGTCCCAGGGAGTAGCTCTGATTTTCAAGGGAGTAGTCTTCAGATGAGGGAAATTGTCTCTTCACTGGGAAATAGATAGTTTTATGGTATTAATTTTATATAGTGTAATTACAGTAGAGGTATAATAATACTACTTATATGTATATTTAATTTGTATTTTAAATTAAGATATTCTTTATTATTTATTAACTAACAGTAAATACAAGCATTTAAAAAGGTGAAATTTACGCTGGTTAATATACTGGTAGTGCTCCATTACTTAAAAGCATTGGGTCTAAGCTCCTATTTAAATAATTTTAAGACTGATATTTACAGGGAAAACTGATTATCTGCAGATGTACTTCATAATGGATGAGTGTGACTCTCCCGGCCAATTTCGATGTGATGCTTTAGTAAAGGTTCCGAGAACAAACGGTTTTGCAGGACATGCCATCTATGCTTATTTTAATGCAGATAAAGCTCAGAATGGAGGAGTAAGTTCAAAATGTATGTTAATGTATTCATGTTGTACTGTCTTCATATTATTGCATTATTTACCTATTTAAAAATGTCATTCTTTTTCACTTTTAACTCTACTGGTCAGAGACCAAGAACGCCTATGCGATAGTAGTGTCCGTTTTGCCTTCTGTCTGTTAACTGTCCATATGTCGGTCTTAATAAAAACAATTCTTCAAAATATTACTCCTCCTATAGTTTTGGTCGGATAGCTATTATAATATAAATTGTGTCCAAGTGATGTGTACAGTATGAGACCTGGAATCCTTAAACTTCAGTTGTTTTATCTTGGAGTAGGGGTAGGGTGTTTTAGAAGTTATACATTCACATCTTCATATAAGATTGTATTTATTTTATAGGTGATACACGTAAGAAAAATGAAGATGAAGAGAAGCAGTACCTTCAACTTTTGGTATTTTTGTTTATTTGTTGAAACATTCAACTTTCTAAAAAAAGTTATCATTGAAGTCTTTTGCCATATTATGTTTATTTAATCTTGAATATCGTTTGTGTTTTATGCAGGACACTCTGCCAGACCTCTACTTGGAATCTGCAAGATTGTCCTATATTGGATCAGGTTATCATATCAGATTTGAAATACACTCACACAAAGCCTAAGAGCTTAATAATGTATAATAATGTTCAAGAAATCAGATTGTTCGAAAACCGAGTATTTTTTTAAAGGATTACAAAAACAATGTAATTTTTTTTAGTTTCTGAAAAAGATGCAAAACAAAGATCAACAAAGAGTACCGGTATGTGTGCTGAATTGTTTCATCCTTACCACATTTAATTGACCTGAAAATTTAATGTTGGTCATTTCCTGGTAATAACATTTTCCCATATTTTTTCTTAGAAAGTTGCATCTTGTACCAAAAAATATTTGTAGGCAATGTTGTTGGCTTATTCCTCTACATTGATCTAGGGTTCATGGATATTAAACCTTTCTTGCAAATTTTACAAAACTTTAACCTTTTGGAATGATTAAGCTAGGGTTTCATACCTCGATCACAGCCCTCTTGGCGCAGTGGTTAGAGCTTCTGCTCTAGAATCGCGAAGTAACGAGTCAATCCTTACGTCGTTCGTTCGAATCCAACTGTAGGACTGGAGACTGGTCCTTTGGATGAGACCTTATAAACCGAGGTCCTGTGTCGCAGTAGGTGCTGGCGCGAAAAAGATCCCTTCCTGCTCAATGGCCTTAAGTGCCGAGTATAGGACAAAATTTGCAGCTCTCCACCGGCAAGTGGTGGCGTCTCCATATGAGTGAAAAATTCTCGAGAGGGACGTTAAACAATCAATCAATGTACACACATTTACAAACATAACCATACAATTTTTTTTTTATCAACTTGATCATCTGTAATTAAATAACACTTATAAAACTGTACAGCTTATACAATTTTTAAGATCACTGTTGACTGAATGAATAAAATTAGATTTTCAAATACAACTTTTTTTTAAGGTGGCTATACTAAAATAACTGAAAAATATGAAGAAATTAAAGGATTACGATACACGAAGTTACAGTGCAAAGTAGATACGAAGAAAATTAAAGCAAAAATTATAAGAGTTGCTGAGTTTTACTTCTTCTATCAGCCATTGGATGACTGGCCCAATGCACGAATGATTTTGGCAGGCCTGGTGAAGAAAAAAGCATTGTTTGTACATCCATACAGATTTCGAATGTTTCCACAGTTTCGTATTCTGCTGGATAAAAAGAAGCATCCAGCTTGGGATGGTAGAACAGGCAGTGGTGAGAATATTTTGCGTTTAATTTATTTGTGTTTTGAAGTGTCTTTTTTTTTTACCAAGAGTCAAAGTTTTTCCATTTATCTTTTCAGTAGCTTCTGTTTCTAAAAATGCCTGAAGAACTTTATAAACACCTAAATATTAAGTTATTCTAATAAAAAAAAAAAGACATACAATCGCATATGTATTTTATATTTTTCACAACTACCAACTGCATGTAATTTTGATATTTTTTTTTTTTAGAAAATCTAGCCTATTTTTCAATTACCATACCAATGGATCTGTGTGATACTCTTACCGGGACATTCCAATGTCAGGCTAAGGTATTGGCTACTGGTTTCTTGGAGCACAAATCTGCATCATTGGTAACAGGATGGTACAAACTAGATCACTCCCACTTATCCAAAAAGAGTAAAAACTGTGGGAAAAAAAGGCGGACCAAAAGTTAAAGGCGCAGAAAATGAAGCAAATGCTGAAGGTATTAAAAGTCTTTCAAATAAAATTGCAGGAATAGTACAAAAATCTTTTTAGGTCAACTATGTAAACTCAGAAGTCCATCTGTTTTTTCCTCTGCTCCTGAGTATTGAGTAGATGAACTTTTCCTATAATATCTAATTATGATGAGCAAGAGTCCTTCTTCCAGAATTGTGAATTTCAAGGTCCCTGTATTAAGGGTACTGTAGAGGGAGAGGAGCTCTAAATATTATATATCCTTATAATAAATTAATGCTTTAAAATCAAACAATGGTACCTTTTTTTGTAAATGTGAAATGTGTAGCCCCAGGGTCGGGGGTCCCTGTGGGGATGGGGCACTTGTGATTATTGCTAATAATCTTAAAGTATTCAGTGTATAATGAAAGGATTTTGAAGGATTTTAAATAATTTTAAACAGGTTAAAAACACATTGCTAGATGACGATAAAAGTGAAATAAACCAAGTTCTCAAAACTGATAACATGTAAAGAGACATCTAGTTCTGTTACAGCATTAAAACTGATTTCTGAATGCATAATTTTTCTGAATTGTACATTACACTGATAGGATGCATGAATTAAATTATGAGCATTTTTTCTGTAATTATTGTAATTGTTAGTCTGATACGCTACAAGAAAGATATTTATTGTTTATACCTAATTGTTTTATATTTATTATACTGTATAGCAGGTATTTTAGCAGGGTGTTATAAAGTACTTTGGCTGATTTTATCAGTTTAGTAGTAAGCCGTAAAAATGAATTTGCTACATCTTCTGTAATGTCAAGAAATCTGTGTCACAGGTACTTGTGGACAGGACCCCCCCCCCCCCCCCCCCCCGATATTCAACCCGGGGCTTATTGGACATTTCTTCAAAAATAATATTTATTACACTTATTCATCATGTGTACAATATGAAAAAATCATCAAAACCCCAAAACAATCGCTCCACAAAAAATACCCCACTACTATACATTATAAGGGAGAAAGGTATGCCACTCCGGTTTGAAATTTCCCTAAGTAAAAGCAACGGAAGTGCATAGAGAATGTATGATAAAACCCGAGAGAGATTATAAGATAAGATAAGATTTATTAATACCAATTTGGGGCCCATCAGGGCATACAAGTAATAAGAAAAAACATACAAGAAGAAATTCAAAATTGATAGTAGCAACTAACAAAAGATAAATGATGTTACAGCAGTTGGGAATTACAACATATATAATCAATATACTGTAAATAAAAGTTGTTTTTTTTTTACTAGAGTATAAACATTATTACTCTTTTGTATTTATTTGTTTCTTTGTTTAACATTGCATAATTTGCTATTTCTTATTTTAAAGATATTGATTAAATCAAAGTACTGAAAGTACTGAAAAGCGGTTAGCATGCTTTCATCTAATATGTACCGAAAAAGTGCATAAAATGATGATATTTAAGTATGCATATCTTTGTCCAATGTCATCAGAGAAGAAAAACCCAGACATTCTGTTTTTGTAATACTTTACTCAATAGTAAAACCAATAACATTCCAAACTGATGTCACAGATGGATGCAATCTAATTAAAATTAGATGTTCCGAATCCGCTACTGCTTCTCAAACATCTAACAACATCCTATTTGGGGTCATGTAAGAGTGAATCTTCGATTAGGCAAAGAAAATGGTTCCTCCGAAATCCTGGCTAATAGTTCAGATGGGTTTCTTGTTTTCACCACCCAACCAAAACACCCGAGGAGTTTTGTAGTAAAAAGATATGCATTGCAAAAGTTGTGTTATGTATGACGTGTGGGGTATCTTGTTTAGTTTGTGCTCTTTCGTTTGCATTATTCACGTTTAGATGCCAGACTGCAGAAGATACATGAAATTTATTCCAAAATTACTTTAATTCAACGTAAGACAGTATCAATAATGATGATATGTAGCCGTGGAATTAATTTGAGAACTGTTTACCGAGGCTTGAATCTACATGGCCAAAGTGTTTGTGTTTACTTGTACATGTATTCATAATTGAAAGGTCGCTCTGATGTGACCCCGAATGGGATGTTAGATGTTTCAGAAGCGGTAGCGGATTTGGAACATTTAAATAAATTTTAATAAGATTGAAATGCATGTTTCAAAATTTAAACATGAGATTTCTTCAGTTTGAAAGACAGGAAGTGCATTTTTAAAAATTCTCTCTTGATGGCATCCAATTGTTCTCTGGATAAAAAAAAATTATGTTGATGTTGAAAATTTCATTGTCTTTTATTCTCTACTGAATCTGAAATTAGGTAATTGTAAAGCCTACTATAACAAACAACTAAAAAAATGACAAGTTAAATTCTTTAGATTAATGGATTTGGAGTAGTGTAGATCTACAGCTGGCTAGTCAGAGAAAAAAGGATGGCTGAGGAGAGACTTTAGTTTTAAGTCGCTGTGCGTTTCTGCGGAGTTAACACTTTGAATAAAAATATTCAAAATTCATCATGTTCATATCGCTGGCGAGTCAACATTAAACTAAACTTTTAGAAAAAGCACAATAATCGTAAAATTAAATTTTATAAATGATGGGGTAAATATTTCATCCAATCCTGATTGACAAAATCTGATATAACTGAAGTGCGGAGAAAATTGGTACGAATGTTAGGCATAGTCTAAAACAAAGTCCGCGTTGTAAATAAACAATTTTACTTTCTCTTTTTAAAATCAGGATCGCTGTATTTATTTGAAATGAAGTGTATATTGAAACATTTCCTATAGATGTTTTTTAAAAATATGATGAAATATTGATTTCTTAAAAGCAAAGAATATTACGACATGTTCGTCCAGGAGACTAGGATAGAGCGCGTTTTACAATGTGCCAAACACTTTCCCGCCACATCTCAACACCAAAATAAATATTGAAAGAGAAGTAATGTAGTGGTGGATCTAGAAGGAGTTCGGGAAGGGGGGGGGGGCTTAATATCCTCTTAAAGACAGAGCGAGGAGCCCCACATATTATATATTTGTTGCGTTTTTATTAAGTTAAAACTATAGCTAAGTTTAAACTTTAGTTTTGTACGTTTTATGTAAAAACTACTTAAACAGCAAACTCACAAGAGTTCGTTAAGTTATATCAGACTGAGTGCAGAGACGCAGAGGACTATGCACAGTTTATATTGCTTATACATGTAATATTGTACATGCATTATTCATGAATAAAATCGGCATTGTCCCATGCGTTTTTTTTTTTTGTGTCACGAGGATATTTTAACAGAAAAATATAAGAATTAAAAAAAAAAATCCAGCAATTTTCAGTTTCAAAAATAATTTCAACAGATATATAAATTGGTTTGCGGCCGATTTTTGACGCTTGCGTCAATATGTTTCTTGTAAATGAATTGATATCAGAGAGATTCAGTTGTGTAGGCTCATTGCGGCAATATAATTAACCTGTCAACGAGGGATGCTTACTTTTTCTAGGCAACGGATCCCACCTCTTGAACTTTCAGGAGTCAGCTTTTCTTCTAAAATCGATCATTGATCATTCTGTATTTTGATACAGATACTGAATACTTCCTTAAGTAATATTATAAACTACTACTTCTACGGGAAGACTGGCGAGTAAACAAGATTATCAAGCTTTATGAAATATATTTCATTGACTTTTCAAACAAGTAAATGTTCGAATAAAGTAAATGGTATATGAGAATCATTTGAAAGAAGTCTTGCACAATATAAGGCACAGTATCTAGATAAGGACATATAAGGTGTTTTTATCATATACTCTTCATGCAGTAGTGTTCTCAAATAAAACATGAAAAGGAAAGTTGTGTAATCAATCAATACTAGTATTTAAAAATTCAAATGTACATTAAAAATCAGTGTAACTTAAGAAGTTATCAGTGTCACTTTCTTCAATATGTCGGTTAAACAATATACACTGATTTCTTTTCTATCAATGTGCCTCTAAACACCTGTATTTTAATTTTATTCTTCTCAAACGTTTAAAACAATAATCGACAAATTGGACGAATTCAAATTTTAAAAGTATTTTCACAGCTAATAATACGTTCCCTAGGAATTGATCAAATTTTCAAAACTTATAAATAAGCATTAAGTATATATTTTAAATTTTTGCTAATTGCCAAAATTTTTCATACCTCATTCTTCTGTGAAAATAATATCGATTGATTTTTAGAAGAGGATCACAATGCTGATTAAAATTAATATATATTTCTCCATTTTTTTTTCAAAATTGATTTTACTACTTTAAGTGCTCCATTATTTTTTACAAAACTAATAGTAAGTAATCCCTTATGATCGATTGTTATAAATTATCAAAGACGGAGTAGAGAATTTATCCCTGGGAGCAGAGCTTTTATAACCTGTTTATTAGACAGAGAAGAAAAGAGAAGAAAAACAAACGTTTCATAGTAGAGGTAACCCTATTGTTTCCATAAAACGTTACAAAAAGTGTAAAACTTACAGATGCGTTCGGTGTTTTTATAAAAGCGCTTTTCAGGTATTAACTTAATAAATGGTGTTTCTTAATACTTTGGCAAGGAAAATCAAACTCGATCGAGAGATTTGCTGATGTTTTTGCAGTCTGTAATAACCTCCAACCTGCTGTATAATTAACTTTCAAAAATAAACTAACAGTTGCCAGAAATCGCGATCGCGCGATACACATGTAATAAGGACCAAATTCTCAGTTCTTAAAAGTAAGTGTTGTAAGTATTGTCAATGCTTTGGTAAATATACTAATAAGAATTCGATATAATCGTTATAATAGCCACTCTTCATACACAGCATATACTTCGTTAGTAGGGGCTGGCTTTAGTCAGACTTCACAGCATATTGTCAATCTCTAACCAGGGGGCGTATTACGCCGACAGTATACAAATCATTTGCTGAAGTTACCGTTGTCGATAGGTAGGTCCTTGTGGAAGTTTCCGGTTTTGGTTGCAGAAGGATAAGGTTACGAGCGATAAAGCGATGCCGATAGGTAGCGCCTTATGGAGGTTTCCGGTTGCCGACACATGCCATATAGCGGCTAGCGAAGCTAACCGCTTAAAAATTACCCAGCTTGATAAGCAACATGTCATTTTCATTAGACATAATCCATAAAAATTTTTCTTTATTTGTTAAAGTATAGAAATTTTTATTACTTTTAGCAATAATATTAAAAAAGTCATCTCTATCATGTTTATATAATGGACATTCAATCAGTGAGTGTATCTCATCTTCCACACAGTTCATGTCGCACATTCTACAAATTCTCTCATTTCTTGCAAGGGTGGTTTGCTCTCCAACAGAGTTTAGTTTTTTTTCGTATTACGTCAGTCCAAAACTCTCTCGGACGTTATCCTAATAAGTGATACATTCTCTATGCACTTCCGTTGCGATTACCTAGGGAAATTTCAACGTTCTGACTGGAAAACTGTTTAAGGAGATAATCAGATATTGTGGGATTCTTAAGAGATGTAGAGATAAGCCGACAGCATGCACTAAGACAGAAATATATGTAGAGACGATGTGAATCGACATTTTAGGTTGAAATAAAATAAATACATGGTTTTAATCCCAGAAAGACCAGTGGGGGTACAACGTAAACAAATCGGAGACGCATACCTTTCTCCCTTATAATGTATAGTAGTGGGGTATTTTTTGTGGAGCGATTGTTTTGGGGTTTTGACGATTTTTTCATATTGTACACATGATGAATAAGTGTAATAAATATAATTTTTGAAAAAATGTCCAATAATCCCCGGGTTGAATATCGGGGGGGGGGGGGGGGGTCCTGTCCACAAGTACCTGTGATCTGTGTCAACCAACTTTATACCTTCAGCAAACAATATGCAGAATTTAACACAGGCTTAAAAAACCTGCTATAAGGTATATGAAGTGTATGGGTAAGATATTGTATTTTAATCGATTACAATGTGATTGAATAGACTTGGACATGCTCTTCCACATTTTTTGGGGATAGGGCTGTACAATAATACTGATGATATCTTAGTACATGTATCTGTAGATTCCTAAATATACGCGTGGAATTAATTATCACGTAATTTCGCGAGAAGCACCAAACGCGAAATTAAATTATTCGCCTTTATTTTTAAGGTGCTGAAATATGTTAAAACTCTTGATCAACCGTCCATTCGCGAATCCTTATTCCCGCCGTGATTTGCTGTTGAAGAGCCCATTTGCGATAAAAAGTACTCGCGAAAAATAAGGAAACTACAGTATTGGAATATGATTTTTTTTTTTTAAATGGTGATTGTGAGTTGCCTGGTAAAATGGTGGACAAAGCATTTTAAAAAAAAATAAAAAACGGGCTCACCAAGATGAATTTTTCAGCCAATGTTTATTTATAAAATATAAGTACATTTCATTTTTTCTGATAAAATATAGAAAAAATAAAGATTTTATTATGCACAGGGTACAGTCCTACGGCACAAAATAAAAAAGATTTCATTGGAGATCACACAAGTATTATTTTGCAATAAAAGTATTAAACAGATAAGATTGAGTTATTCAATGTATAATGACAATAATTTGTACCTAACAATGAAATAGTCCGAAATGATTTATCATGGTAGGGTTTCAAGGTATTTTTAATATGCACAACTCTCTTTTTACTAAAATACAAATTAAAATGAATCATTTACCACAGTTCTTTGACACAAATAAAATTTTCTATTTTCCATCATAACGATGGAAGTTAATATGCACCTTTGCTAATAATGCCAATTTTAAATCCTTGCTGTTTATACCATAGTCTTTGAAATTATCTCAAAACTAAAAGTAAATTTTGCAGTTGGTAAAGAAGAAAAAGACGCTGGCTCCATATCACCTACTTTACAGCCGATATTTAAAACAGAGGAGGAGTCGGAAGGGGGAGGAGGGGGAGTGGCCATCGGAATTATCTGCGCCCTGGTTGTGCTTGGGGTCATTGGTTTTGTAGCTTACAAAATGTGAGAAGATAATCTTGCTTTCTATCAGATACATCTATCCTTCCATCTTTCTGTCTATCTGTCTGTAGGCATTTTGTCCATCGATAAACTTTTATTTTTTTTCAAACCTTGTGGATATGATAAACATGATGTAAATGTATATCATTTAAACCTGTGTGCCAGGTTTTATCAATAAAATGTTTTACAGCACCTTAGAACCTGTCAACCTTCAAACCTTCTCTCTCTCTCAATTCTTAATCCTTTACTAACAAAACTTGAAAGTTACAATTAATATAATCACAAAATTCTAAGTTCACATTCCCAAAGTTCTAAAGTTTTGTATTAATTGTTTGAATTTCATATACTGTGAAAATGTTAATATGTTGAGTGACTCAAAATTTAATAATTATATCTGTGATTTATTTAATGATCTCTTTTAGCAGAAAAGTAAAAGTAGACAAGTGGAAACTTTATTATTATAATTATTATAAGAAATTAATCCATTTATTCAATGTTTCCACTTCATCAAAGTTTTAACTTTTACAGTAGTTTAATTGCCATAAATAAAAAAAAATAATGCGAATTGAGAATTTTTGTGTTCTATTTTCAATTACATGATTTTTTTAATGGAATCAACAGTTAGAATAATGAAATAAGAGATATTCTAAAAGAAATAGTTTTATACTTTTATTTTTTATTTTGCAGGTATATGAAAAAGAAAACAGGAGATGGCAATAAGGTACAAGCATGAATTTGGAAAATCTGGTCTAAAAGAAAATGCTTAGAAAATAGTCATGATGAAAATTCAAGGCTGTGCATTAGTACCCCAACCGAACACTTAACTGAACTACTGAGTCAGAAATCCTTAAATTTATAAATATATTTATAAAAGAAGCTAACTCACAGAATTTGTGTCCCCCGCCTATGGTAAAAAGAAATGCATGCATGGATTGAAAGGGGGAGGGGGACATTTTAAGTAGGGCAGGCGGGTCTATAGGGAGTTATGGTATTAAATTTAATTGCAATTATTCAAATGCTCCATTTGATATCACCCGAAATGAAATTTAACTCTCTCTCTCTCTCTCTCACACACACACACACACACACACACACACACCCTCACACACAATGTATGAATTTACAACCTTGACCTTTAATTTTGACTCTAAAAATAAATAGGGGTCTTTCTTAGGCCATAGCGAGTTAATGTCATTGCAAGATCTCAAAGGTTCTAGAGATATCGCACAGAAATGAACGTGTTAAAACAGACAGAATATTTGAATTTGCTACTTTTTAACGTTTTACCTCATTGCAAAATCACTAGAAATCTTCCTTAGGAAGGGGGGGGGGGGTTAAAGAGATTGCTAAAATTTCATATATTATAGTTTTTGCCTTGTCAAAAGGCTTTTTGGGGAGGTGGGGGTCTTGAATTTCACAAATTTTAATCTTCTTCACCCATAAATGTTATTTTCCAAATTCAATGAAATTTGTTCAGTGATTTTACAGAAGTTTGGAATTTACATGTATTGGAAATAATCTGATGAAGAACACCAGATTTATAATGGCTCAGGCCATACATATACTCTTGAAAGATATTGGTTTCAAAATGTCTGCGATAGTTTTTAACATTTGTTCTGCCCCCTCCCCCCCCCCCCCAAAAAAAACACATAATGTTAGTCTAACAAACAGTGACAATTTTAGTTCACCTGATTCAAAAGCTCAACTGAGCTTTTCTGATCACATTTTGTCAGTAGTTTGTCTGTCCGTCTGTCTGTAAACTTAACATTTTGACTTCTTCTCCAGATTCACTGGCACCAATATTGCCTCCTTGGTTGAAGGGGATTCAAGTTTGTTCAAATGAAGGGCCCCACCCTCTTTCAAGGATAGATAATTAAGAAATAGTAAAAGTTTGGTGCGGTGTTTGAAAAATCTTCTTCTCAAGAAACACTACATCGGGAAAGATGAAACTAATCTGGAAGCATCCTCAGGTATTAAAGATTCAAGTTTCTTCAAATCAGGAGCCCCGGTGGTAGTGTGGGTCCACAATAGACGATCAAAGTTTTACATAGGAATTAGGAAAAATCTTTTAAAATCTACTCCTCAAGAACAACAAAGCCTTGATTGGTCATATTTATGTGGAACCATCCATAGGTAGTGTAGATTCAAGTTTGTTTAAATCATGACCTCCGGGAGTAGGGTGGGGCCACACTGGACGATCAAAGTTTAACATAAGGAAAAATGTTTTTAAAAATATTCCTCTGAAAAAGAACAGAGCATAACTAATCATTTTTAAATGGAAGCATCCCCAGGTAGTGTAGATTTGAATTTGTTTAAATCACGACCCCAAGGGTTAGGGTGGGGCCACAATGGAAAGTCAAATAATTTTTACAAGGAAATATATAGGAAAAATCTTAAGTTTTTAAAATCTTCTTCTAAGGAACTTCTAAAGAACAACAAAGCCATGACTGGTCATATTTAAATGGAAGTATTCTCGGGTAGTGTACAGTATGTCAAAGGAATATTTAATCATTTTTAGTTAGTGTAGATTCAAAGTACTTCAAATCATAATCCCTCCTTTTTTAAAGATAGGTCGTGACCACATATGCATTTAAGCTTTTCACCTCTTTCCCCAGCCACAGTGCTCAGATGAGTGATATGGCCCATGGGCCTCTTGTTAAAATAATCTTACAATGAATTATGAAGTCACTCTGGTTCATAGTATGGTCAATGACCCCCTTATTAACATATAGGATGAGAGCGAAACAAGACCCATTAACCCTGGAGTGGCGGGTCGGGGAAGAGGTCGAGGGAGGGGTCGCGGACGTGGAAGAGGACAGGTACGACTCTAATGTCAAACTACCCATTATTATCATGCCAATTCATCTCATACATGAAGGCAATTATCAAAAAAATAAACTACATTTTTTTTTTTATTATGATACTTATTACATGTATAATGATTTTTTTTAAAATACTTTTTCGCAAATTGAAGCAAAGGCCTGGTGAATGAAGTCATGTTTCCAGATTGGCCTAAGGTTGCAAGGAACTTTTTAAAAACTTGAAGTACCAAAAGGAAGTTCGCCATTGACTTGTATAATTACTTAAATGATGGGAATCACACAAAATACGAATACAAGTAAAATTCCAATCTCAAATGGAAGAAGCTTCAAAATGTACCACCTTTCAAATTTTATTTTTAGTTCAAAAATAGTGACTTACTTTGATTTTATGTTTAAATCAAATTGTGGATAATAAAATAAAAAAGATTTATACAATATAATTAGCTTCATGTTTGATTTTGTTAAAAATAGCTGTCAAATAAAAAATATATTGTCTCATTTCATGTAGAAATTTAAGCCAGATTTTTTAAATTATGGTAAATGACATAAGTTGTGATGATTTTTTTTTACGGTAAACAACAACATTTGTGATAAATGATTTTTTTTTCCTTTTTAGATAAGTCAAAAGCTCAAATGAGTTTTTTAAATCATCTATTGTTCATCAATCTGTCGATTCATTAAACCCCTGCTCCGAGGGAGAGGGGTTAAGTACTAAATTATGTAAATAGAACATTTTAATCAACAAGAATATTTCTTGGCATAATTAGATTGAAGTTTTTTCATCGTGTAACTTGAATCTTAAACAAAAATGTTTTACATTCCTTAAGAATTTAAGTCAATGAGTATAGAACGTATTGTGAACGCAGCCAGCGCAGTGAGAACGCCGTGAACACGAGATGAAAACTCTTAACGCGCCGTGAAAACTCCGCGGAAGCGCAGTCAATCGCCGAGAGATCTCCGTGGGAACGCAGTATAACGCCGTGAGATCGCCGTAGGATCGTGTCCGTCGCCGTAGGGACGCCGTGACATCTTCATCTTATGAAAATTTTACAGAAATTTGTGCAGTTTTCCAGCGATTCCACGGCGATTTTAAAAATTTAACAACGTCGTAGTGACTCCGTGTGAACGCAGCTTGGTGTGACGGGCCTTAAACAGACAGGACAAAAACAATATACGCCTCGGATCTATCGATCCGGGTGCATAAAAAGTCCGCCGACAACCTTTAAGTCCGCGGATCATTAACTGGCAAGATTGGAAATATGCAGCTTACGTCATTTCTATCTGCTTTACAATCAAAACATTAAATGATTGACAATGAAATGGGCGAGTACACGGACAGCCGAGAAAACATATTGAATTGAAATTCTAGTTTGAAAGAAGGATATGGAGATAACGAACAGTATTCAATCTCAAAGTCTATTAAACAATATACAAAATAAGAGGAGAGCAAACACGGACCTCCGAAACATCAGAGGTGGGATCAGGTGCCATGGAGGAGTGAGCATCCCCTGCCGACCGGTCACACCCGCCGTGTGCTCGTTGCCATGATCAGGAAATAACGGAAAAAATCCGTCGTCCATTCAGTATAAATAATGGACTAACGATCGGTATGAAAAACGTCAGTCAGCATTTGACTCAATGATAAATTGTATTTGCTGACAAGGTCATTGTATCGACCATAGAACTTACGAAATGATGACTTTAAACGAGACTGTTGATATTCTTGTTTCATCAACTTGCTTGTCAATAATTTACCTCGTTTAAGAAATTGTTCATACGTAGAGCATGCTCTTGCGTATCGAATCATCTGAGATATATATACTCCGTATGCAGTTGATGAAGGTATATTGCTGCATAAGTAAGGGAAGTTGACGATAGAAAAGTTAAAGTCATCACGTTTATCATATAGCTTGGTTGTTAGATTACCATTAGTGTCTTTTTCAAGTAAAATATCCAAGTATGAAGCAAAAGTGTCGGACTCTGTGGTATCTTTTATTTCAAGCTCACCTGGATATATCGTATCGATGTAGGAATGGAAATTATCATTATTAATTGACAATACGTCGTCGATATATCTAAATGTCGAGTTGAAGGCCACAGCAAGTGTTTTCTTCTTTTCACGCATAAGATTTTGCATAAATTCTGCTTCATATGAATTTAAAAATAAGTCTGCTAATAACGGAGCGCAATTTGTACCCATTGGAATTCCAATGGAATGAATACCTGGTCTCCAAAAACCACATAGATATTGTCAATCAGAAACTCAAGCATCTTTTTGATGTCAACTTCAGAGTACTTATGTGTGCAATCAGAATCTGTTTTAACAAAATAATTTTGCAAATGACCAATAACGAGGTAAGTAAATCTACGAGTTCCATTTTTATTGAAGAAGCAGCTGTCAATGATATCAAAAAGCCTGGATTTTAATTTGTCATGGGGAATTGTTGTGTATAAAGTTGAAAAGTCGTAAGTTTTTAAGCTGTTGATTTTTGTAAAGTCTTGTGATTCAGTGACTTGAAATTCATTTTCTTGGAAATAAATAAGAAAGTTATCAAACATTTTTCATTGAAGACAAAGCTGAAAAGGCTCTTGTCATCATATAATATAATTATGTCTTCTATGACTTTTACCAGTGTCCTTTAAGATTATATTATAGGCTATAAAGTCAGGTCAATATAAATTTCAACCAACATGTATTTGGGAATTGAAATTGTATTTTGGGTCATATACATTCTACAGTTTCTACTCTGTTTCTGAAAACAGGCTCAAGTGGATTGAAAATGAATTTCAAACTTGATTTTCTATCCAATGTTTTCTCGGCTGTCCGCGACGAATTGAACCCGCCCATTTCATTGTCTGTCATTAAATGGTTTGAAATATTTACAATCTTGCCAGTTAATGATCCGCGATCTTAGTCACCGTGTATAGGGACACGTGGGGTTCCGGTTAAGTACCATGTGGGGTTTCAACTCCGAAGCGGTGATTGTTTTGCATTTTGAAAATATATTTGTAAAAATCCTTTGCTAAGGAATTCTACGGGACCAAAAAGAGGCAAATAGAAAAAAAATAGAAAAAGCCTTGAGTTGAAACCCCCTATGTTAACAAACCTTGAGACCCCGATAGGCAAAATAGAATTTGGCCACAAAAGTTTATATTTCTTACAGAAATAGAGGCTGTTTAAGGTGAAAAAAGTTTTCATGGATTGTTTTTATATCAATCTTTATCTAAAATCCTTAAAATGAGCTTTTGAAGTAGTATTGAGCAAAGAATGTCAGCGACATCACAACTTTTCTCAGTTGACTGAACTGTCCAGAAGTGTTTGTACAATCCGTAACGTTTTCAACCAGCCTACTGCACTAAATTGGAAGGTAATACATTCTTACAACCCGTGGGCATGTCATTTGGCCCCGAAGAATTCATTAGCAAAGGATTTTTACAAATATATTTTCCAAATGCAAAAAATCACCGCCTCGGAGTTGAAACCCCACATGTGTCCCTATACACGGTGTTAGTGTCAGGCAACATTTAATACAATAAATACTAATAGAACACATGGGGGCGAGACACTATGAGAGGGGTGAGAGAGGCCCTAAGGAGTGTTGGTATAAAATTTCATTGCAAAAGCTCAAAATCTTGAGATATCGTCAGGAAACAAAAGTGTTACACACTGACAAAGTGCATAAACTTACGACCTTAAACTTTGACCTTTTGATCTCAAAATCAATAGGGGTCTTTCTTAGGCCACAGGGAGTAGTTATGTAAAATTTTATTGCAAAAGATCAAAGGATTCTCGAAATATCGGGCGAGAACGAAAGTGTTAAAACAGACAGAATTTATTACCTTGACCTTTATCCTTTTGACCTCAAAATCAATAGGCTTCTTCTTTAGTCTATAGGGAGTTGCTTCGCAAAATTTTATTGCGAAAGCTCAAAGGGTTCTCGAGAAATCGTGCGGAAACGAAAGCGTTCAGTTCAGACAGACAGAAAGACGGACGGACGTACGGACAGACACATACAGACAGACCCAAATTAATATACACCACTTTCAGTGAAAATGAAATTAAAATTCCATTTGACTTTGCCTCATTATTTGTACGTTATTGAAACTAATATGACGATACTCACCAAATTTGAAAATTCGCATTTTTTCTATGTCTCCTTGTTTTGAACATATTTTATTGACAAGCAAAAGGATAAGAAACAAGTTCTAACAACTTACTAGTTCTTCTCCTTAACATAAACACATAGTCATGCAAAAGGTAGAAAAAAAAACTTGTACAAATAAGAGTCAATAATATATCTAGTTAAATCTACAAGATTCATTTATAAATTTGTGAACAGCGGCAAAAATGCCAATGTTTACTTCAATTGAAAGATTTTCGTTGCCCCAAAGCAGTAGGTGTACATTTATGATGTCTACATCAAGTCGAAAAAGATAGTCAAAAAGATTACTTCGAGCATTAAGGTATTTTTTACAAACAAAGAAAAAATGATAAGCATCTTCCTGTTTGCCACAAGAGCAATTAGGATTATCAATAATATTACGTTTAAATAAGTCTTGGTTCAATACACATTTGTGCCTTAATTTAGTATGAATAATGTTAGTAATACGTTTACCAAACAAAAAATATGATGGTGCTTTAGGATTATTATCACTTATAATCTTACGAAAAGAATTGACTGAGATGGCTTCCCTTATATCAGTATTCAATAAATTCCATTTTTTAACAGCATCAGGTACAAACGATTTGTTAAATATTTCTAACCTGCCTCTTGGGATAGTTAATTGATCTTTATTTCGTGTATTGTATCTTGATGTGTGTTCTCGTTTCTTTGGTACTATATCTTGTATATATTCCGGTACATCACAATAATTAATTTTGAACATTGTAATCATTTTAGATTGGTAACGACGATTTTTCAAAGGTACCCATCCTGTTTCAAAATAGAGTGATTCTCTTGAAGCTAATATCGGAAGACCAGTAACTATTCTAGCAGCCATTAATTGTACTTTTTCTAGTTTTTCTACATCAGATAAAGAGCAACCATCCCAGACAATTGAAGCATATTCAAGTGTAGGTCTTACAAATGTTGTATACAATAGAGAAAGGTTTTTCCTACCGATTGAAAATTTCAATTTTTTTAATAACCCCAATTTCCTATAAGCATTATTAACAATACTATCTATATATTCAGACCAGCTCAGATTTTGTGACAACAATATACCCAAATGGCGATGCGCCGATACAAACTCCAGTGCATTGCCTTGAAAATACAAGTTAGGTAAAACAGGTTTATGTTTTAAAGAAAAAAATACAACCTTTGTTTTTGCTGGATTAAATCTTAAAAGCCATTTGCTCGACCATTTATCTAAAACATCTAGATAATGGTTTAACCTGTATTCTATATCTAGTACATTATATGATGCATGTTGCAGTGAA